ATCCCCACTCAATACCATCGACAATATAGCTCGACTGGTTTCACGGGCCGTCTCGGCCCACCACCGGAAAACCCGCCGGCGGACACCTCCGTCGACGGCGAAGCCCTCAGGATCCAAACCCTTCTGAAAACATTCTCCGGCGAGCCAACCCAAAAAGTCTCCCAACAGCTCGACTCCTCTAATCTATCTTTGTCGCAAGAATTGGTTCTCAACGTGCTCAGACGGTACCGCTCCGAATGGAAAACCGCGTACTTATTCTTCTGCTGGGTTCTCCAGAGCTCGACTGTTCTCTCTTCAGATACCTCGATCCACAACGAAATTCTTGATATTCTCGGCCGGGCCAAAAGATTCGACGAGGTCCACCAAGTACTTGACAAAATGTCTGAAAGAAAGAACCTAGTAAACGAGCACACGTTCGCAACTGTGGTCCGCAGGTACGTGGCAGCCCACAAAGTCGACCGGGCAATCGACTTTTACGACAATATGGGGAAATTTTTCGGGCTTGATCCCGACCCGTCCGCTTTCCAAAAACTCCTACTCTCCCTCTGTAGGTACAAGCACGTCGAGCAGGCTGAAAATTTGTTGCTCGAGAGAAGAAACGAGTTTCAAAATGACATCAAGGCTTGGAACATCATTCTCTATGGATGGGGCTTGCTGCGTAGCTTGCAAAACGCTAAACGGGTCTGGGAAAAAATAGCCCGTTTGAAATGTGGGCCCGATAAGTACACGTACGCCATTTTCATTAACATATTGAGCAAATGCGGCAAAACAACTACGTCAGTTGACCTTCTCAGGAAAATGTGGGCCGACGAGGGATGTGGTGGGCCAGACGTGCCCACCTGTAACGCCGTTATTGATGGGCTTTGCTTTAAGAAACGAATACCCGAGGCCCTCGAGATTTTTAAAGAGATGGGAAAAATGGGCTGCCCACCGAATGTAGTTACGTACAACACGCTTATAAAGCACATGTGCAAGATTCGGAGAATGGATAAAGTGCACGAGCTTTTGAGCGAGATGGAGGAAAAAGGTGGGGATTGTTTGCCGGACTCATTGACTTTCGGTAATTTGTTAAGAACTGCAAAGAATTGTGATGATGTTGACTGGATTTTGGAGAGGATGAGGAAAATCGGGTGCAAAATGGAAGGGGACGCGTACATTTTGCTTCTGAAGCTTTACATGTATTCAGGTGAAGTGGAAAGGGCGAAATGGGTTTGGGCTGAAATGGAGAGGGAGGGTTTTGGGCCCGACCGGAGATCGTACACAATCTTTATTCACGGGTATTATGATATAGGGATGTCGAGGCCCGCATTGGAGCTTTTTGACGAGATGGTCTCGAAGGGGATGGTGCCTGAGCCGAGTACCGAGGAGTTGGTGAAGGATATGAGGTCGGGGTCTAATGGAGTCGGCCTACGATCAAGGAGGAGGAGGGTTTTGAGAGCAAAATAGAGATTACAATCCTTTTTTTTTTTAATATCTTCTGTGTTCCGGGGTTCATCAAGAGAAGAGATTAGCATTTAAGGTTTTTCTGCAAGTAGGCATATAGGTTTCTATTGCAAGATCTTTAGGTGGAAATAGAGTTGTTAAATTAAACGGGCCGCTCGTGAGCTCGGCTCGACTTGTTTGATAAACGAGTCAAGCTCGAGCTCATTCATTTAAAGGTCGTTTAAAAGATGATATTTATGTAATTTTTTATAATTCGGCTAGTTAAAGTTCAATTTTGGCTCGTTAAAACTCGAGCCCGGTTCGTTATTATTGATAAATGAGTCTAGTCCGAGCTCAATTATGAGCTTGTTAACGAGCAGAGCCTAGTCCGGTCGTCAAAGGCTCGGGTGCTCGAGGTCAGCTTGTTTACACCCTTGGTTGAATAAAAGGAAGTTTTTTATCATTTGCATCTATTTTTGGTACTCCATTTGCATGAATAAACATGTGATTTGAGCTATTTGAACATTCAAATCGGAGGACATTTGTGTTTGAAGTTTTTATTTGCTGGGGTTTTCATCGGATGGCCCTACTGCAGAAGGCCCAATAGATTATTGTGACGTGGGCAAAATCGAAAGCCCAAAACGTACTAATGCGTTGATAATTATTTCCCCGTGCACACAACTGACCGCAGCAGCTTATGTCCCAACCCAATACAAAAATCATACAAAGAGCGGTCGAACTAAATGAGTCGGTTCGTAAGCTCCGCTCGACTTGTTAAGACCGAGTCAAGCTAGAGCTCGTCTGATTATCAATTCGGGCTCGACTCGCTACGATTTGAAAATAATTATTTTATTTAATTCTGTTAATCAAGCATTTGGCTCATTGGATAGCAGAACAGGACCACCTGTGATGTACTACTGATGTTGATGTAATAATAATTATAATACCGAGTATATGTAAAGGGGGACCATCTCCTCAAGCTACTCATTGCATACCCGAAAAAATACAATGAGGGAATTATAGATTTATAACAGGAAAAAGTACAACGTTGAAACTTGAAAGTCCTATCCCAATAATATGTGTCTATTTTCCAGAATTAAAAGTGGTCCTTAGCCTCGAACCTCATCGTTTTCCCCCAACAAGTCGTGTTAAATTTGGCAAATGTTTTGTTATCTACTTGAACAATCAATTTGATGGCATGCCATTTTTTTTTTTTATTTTTTTTTGTTACTTATTCTTTTGGAGTTTTAATTTGAAAGAATATCCATCCATGCCTTTTACTATGGAAAAACACAACCATCTCGATTCGTTATCGCGAAAGTATATACCATCTTGGGGAGTCGTTCGAAAGGTCTGAAACAGTCGACTTACAATCGCGAACCGAAGCTGAAAATGATATATACGATCAGAAAATGGTTCGGAATATTTGTTTTTTAAAAAGAGAAAAAGATAATAGGTAGTATTTTTGTAAACGCTCGGCTCAGAGCGGCTTGAGTACTTGTTTACTAGCTAGACATTAATCACGAATGATTTTGGCTGGACTCGAATATCACCTTAATTTTGATGTTGGGCCAAACTGTATATAGCCTTGAAATTAGATACTCAGAAATATATTGGCCAAGTTAAAGAATTGTCGAAGTAATTAAACATATATAATTCAACTTAAATAGTACTGTATATCAGTATATAAGTTTTGTGTACAACATTAACAGTGATTTAATAATCTTGATAATAATATATCATAAAACCTTGGGTAATGACCTTTAAGTTGTTATGGTACTTAGTTTCATCTGTAGAAAGCCCGTACAATTTGATCTACCAAGTGCCTTGTCAGTTGTCATTATCCCATGCAGGAATCTCTATTTTTCCTTAAATAATTGTTTTTTTTTTACATGACTTGGTAATGCAAACAATCAAACTAGAGATGCTATGATGTCGTGACGGAACCATTCCAATGAGATTTGTAACCATTAGATCAACTATCATCGACAGTTACATGATAATCTAACAGTTAACATCTCCGACGAAATGGTTCCATAAAAGGACCTTATCATTTTCTCAATCAAACAATTACACAACAAAAATTTGGAAAAACATCATCAACTACTAATTAAACGGATAACAATTCCATTAATGATAGTAGTAAACAAAATCTTAATACAAGTACCGCTAAACAAGTTGATAATTGATTAAACAAAGTTACACTTCAAAACATTAGGCATACTTAAGAGTACTACCTCTACAGCCTGGATAAAAGGTACAAACAACACATAGCACAGCTTAAAATCAAAAACAACAAGTACATATAAATATAATTAACCACTCGGCAAGCACGTTAGACTAAAAGATTAAATAATTATTAGTACGCTTAATCCACCATTACTCAGTAACCCCACATGCAATCCAATTCCGTGGATCCCACCCTCGAACCCTCCGGCGGCTGTGGCGGCTGAGCCCACTGGCCGGCAGTTCCATAACCGGTCACCGGATGTGGTGGAGGCGGCGGCGTGGCGGCAGAGAAGACGAATGGAAGATGCAGATTTTCTTGGAGTGACCGTAGGCTCGGAAACCCAATGGGAAACCCTACAAAGTCACCGCCACCATTTGGCCGGGCAAAACGGGCGGCGCCCATGGAGGAGGACGGCGGGTCGTGGAGGAGCGGCGGTGGCAAAAGTGGCGGTGCTGGGAGGTCGAATAGGGTCGTGTAGCCAAAACCAGTCGTCGTGGAGAAGCAGGGCACGTGCTCCCTTGTAGCGGCATTGCCATCGTACGAGCAACTCTCACGATCGTTCGAGGCCGTGGAGTGCTCAAGGAGTGTCGGAAGGGAAACCGAAGATGGTGAGCTAACCTCCAGCTTGGCGGCATTGCCGGAGGGCGGCGGCGGCCTCTTCTTGCCGGCGGCCGAGGGGCCGGTGCCGGAGCCGGAGCCAGTCTTCTGAAACACCCGAGAGATGACCCACTCGCCCTACACACAAAAAACGCACGCTTCATTAAAAAATTTACGAGTTCATCATTAAGCAAAAGTATTATATGTACGAAAATACATGAGACATTAAAGACTGAGTACCATCGTAACACATCTACTCAACATATCATGGCTTAGAAAGATTCGACGGTTTTCAATTTACCGGTGATTACAGTATATAGTCAACAAAAACAACAGGTTTTGTCTATCATGATTCAATACATGAAAGACTCAAATGTATCGATGTAAAGGTGAAAGACTCAAATTGGGTCGTATTACACGGTAAAGGTCGAATCTTTCGAAAAAAAATACGACGACAAAATCACTGGATATAATAGAAAAGATTCATTACTTAGCAATCAAACTAATTAATAAAGGTAATTAGGTTAAATTAAATCAAGTCATTTCAAGATTTTAAGTACACTTATGTCATATCGTTTTCGAAATAATATCATGTCATGTACTAATATCAAGGTACCCATGCAAACCAACACAGAGAACTGTACTGTCCACTGAACATGATAACGTTAACAGTACAACCAATCACAAAAACAAAAACCCAATGGCACCAAAACAGCAGATTTTGAACACACACAAACACACAGTAAACCAGATAATGCAAACCAAATAATAAATTAACTTCTGACTGCTCAATAACAAATTCAAAATAATTCAACAAAATTAACATACACCTGAACAAAACTCTATCAACCCAACAATAAATCAAAAAGTTGAAATCTTTATTCTTTTAACAAAAAAAAAAATGGGGGTTTATTGAAATTATTCACCTTGGAATTACTGGATAAATAGTGAAAGGCAAATTTGCCCTCGAGACGATATTCATGCATAACCCAGTTGCTCTTCTCGCCTTTGGGGGCCCGGCCACGGTAGAAAACCAATGTCTTCTTCATGCCCACAAGCGAGCAGGTCTTGGAGCTGAAGATCTCCCGGTCCTTTCCGGTTGCCTTCCAGTAACCCGACTCGGTGGCCCGGTTTGTTCTCAGACCAGTCGGGTACTTCCGGTCGCGGAGACTGAAGAAGTACCACTCTTTCTCCCCCATTTTCGCCCTGCCTGCACAAACAGAGTAAACAGAGAAAAAATTATTAAAAAAAAAAAAAGATCGAATTTTTACATCGTTTATTTACTCGGACAGAGGTAAAAAAGCACTGGAAAGCGTGGTTTTTTTTTTATTTACCTGGGAGGTGCCAAGGTTCGCACTTGTTGAGGTCAACCTCGGCTATGGCTCTGCTGGTGAAGTTAAAGTCGAGGACCTTTTTGAGGAGGTAATAAGTTATGAGCTCCTCGTCGGTGGGGTGGAACCGGAAGCCCGGAGGCAGGGCCTCCGGCCTCTCGTAGGAGGCGCCGGCGCCGGCGTGGTAGTTTTCCATTCTTACCCCTTTTTATCAAGAAATTACAGAGACCAAAGACAACATGCAATGTGTTATTTTTTTCTTTTATCCTTTTTCTTTCTATTGCACAGGTGACAAGGTATAGGAGAATGCCTTGTGTGTGTGTGTATATATATATGCACATAAAGACACATAATTGTTTATGATTTTTTTGTTTTAATAATTATTAATGAAAAAGGTGGGAAGTTTTTTAACAGGGTATGTGGGGGAATGGGTAAACTTGGAGTGTTGCAGGTAGGTTCATGGGGATTTGATTTATCGTGCTGGCAGGTGAAAAAAGGAGTGAAAATAATAACATGGAAGTGTATCTATCATGTATCTATCATCTATGTGTGTGAAGATTTCAGACTACACACACTCGTAGAGTTTTTAGCGGTAAAAAATTAATTTAACGTGTACTTATTCAATGGTAAAAATTTAAATAATTGTACCAACAAGGTTGGCTCAACTAGTAAGCAGCTTGATGTCGCTTAAGCAAGGTCGTTTCGAGTTCGAGTCCTTGTGAATGCAGAAAACCCTTGTTGGGAGACTCACCCACCATTGCCAGGTGTGCGACCCGGGTCGACCAATGAATAGTCGGGACAAAGCTCCGTATATCGTGACTGGCTATAAAAAAAAAATTAAATAATTGTACTCCGATTGTGTGTAAGCTTAATTCTAAAGTCATTTGATATAAGTTATTTTGATTTTGACTGAATTTGTTGAATAGCCAAAGCTAATTTTTTTTTTTTTTAAAAAAAAGTTGATTGAACTAAAGTGCCGCTAAGATTTCTTAAGTTTAATTTGCATTAAAATGATATTTAAAATTATGTACAAATGATCGGTGTAATGTATGCTAGGCTAATCGGATCAATAGTTAAAAATTATGTGAATGTATGAATAGTGTACAAAAGCTCGTGTAATTTGTGAGAATGATTAGTTGATATTATTTAATTTTGTTTATACAGAAATTTTATGGAGTCATCGAATGATTTTCTTATGGAGTCATTCATCAGTTAATATGTATTGACACATGTATAAAGTATATTAATTATAAAACACGTGTCAATATACTATTTATGAATAGCTGTTGATGACTCTAAAAGTCGTGTCATATGATAATTCTATTGCAAAAATGTATATTCATAATATTAAACAGTGTTGTGTTAAGTTAAATTTGAGTTCGTTTTTGTGGTAAAATTATTTAGTCAAAATTGACTAGATAACATGTGTCCATGCCTAAAAGTTCCCACTACTAGCAACAATAGTGCAGTCATATATGGTTTCATTACTTTGAAAAACTCAGTGACTGATTGTGTGTATCAATCTAACGGCAAAAGACTTGATAATTATACAATAATCGTGTGAAAGGATCAATTGATATATTTCACACTACACACAATTAATGTGGAGGTTCGAGTTTTTTACAATCAAAACTCGTATTAATTCATGCGTGTGTTGATCCACCGATTAGAACAAACACTCAATAATCGTAGAGAAGTTTTTTGTGTGCTGGTCGATTCATATCATGTATTGCAGATGTATTTACTCTAAAAAAGCTAGGTGACAAAATAATACTAGTAATAAAGAAAAAGAATGAAATATGTGAGGAATTAAGAAAAAAGAAAATAAAATAGGAATGAAATATGTGAGAAATTAAGAAAAAAGAAAATAAAATAAGAATGATGTGAAATATATTAATTTTTTTGGGGCTGTACAAAAAAATGTGGGGCCACTGAAGTGTCTGCAGTGTCTGCAACACAGCCCCTTATCATGTCCATATTGCTAGATAATATAGCTTCAGGGTGGGTGGGTGGG